CTCCATGCAGGGTCTTCCCTGAAAACCCCACACCCTTAAGATGTCACAAAATGCTGAAATTGTTCCTTCTCAGAATAAGGCAGGACACTCCAGCTGCACCAGGGCATCCCTGTATTAGGCAGCACACAACTAGTGACACCTTTTCCTATATTCCTCCTAGAACCAGCTAGGCAGGAAACTGAAGCCAGCACTTCTATCCTCAGCGAGCTTGTCTGTTTGGATGGGGTGGGGCAGGAGCTACACAAAACAGAAAAAGACGTACATCCCAGTAGATCCTGGTGCACGCTGACACATGAAACAGATAAAAAGTTCACATGGTACAAAACCCAGAAAAACAGAAACGGCTGCAGCTCTTTCATTTCTACTATTCTCTTCCTTATTTAGAAAAATAAAGTCCAGTGAATGTTCTTTGGTCTGAAAACTACCAGAAATAGAAAGGAAATGTTCAAGAAAATGAAGACTTCTCAGTATGTATTCGGGGAGCAAGGACTTGTGTCCTAAGAGGCTGCCTTAGGAACAAGAAATCCTTTAGCCCTGATCCTGGGGTTGTGAGGCCCGGGCTGCGAAGAGGAGCTGGCAGCAGGTGACCGTCCGCCAGACTCTGTCGGAAGCAATGTGCACAGTGGTGACAGTCAGCAGCACCAGCTCCGAGGCCGCTGGCCTGGGTCTGAACTGGCCCCGGTGCCTGTGGGCTGTGTGGACTTGGGAAAGTCCCCTGGCCTTTCTGAGCCTCAGCTTCCTCTTCATCTGTAAGGCAGAGATTACCAAACTACCTCTTGGGGTTATGACAAGCGTTAGGGAAAGACTTCTGCAGAAAACGCAGGGCTGACAGCAGGCGCTGGAAATGTTACCTGCTGTTACTACTCACACAGCATCATCTCTAACAGCTGCAGACCCAGCAGTGTGGATTCAGCACAGATTAAGTCTAAAAGCCCCAAGGGAAGGCAAGTGCGCTGAGGCACCAATGAGGAGAAAGTGCACTGGGGCAATTTCAGAGGAGAGAGGTGGAGGCTGGGGTGACAGCCCACACCCGAAGCCCACGCACGCCTTATTTCTCTTCTGCAGGGAAAATCACACACCCACCTGCCACAGATAAAAGGGGCTGAGGATCCAACAACGTTGGTTTGATAAGCTCCATCACACAGACATACAGATGAAACGTTTGGGTTAAAATTTAAAGTAAACCCTCACTATAGTTTAAATTACTTAAATTGTTACTTTTCTACTACAAAGTAGTTGCATTCAGAGTCAAGGCAAAACTACTTACGAATGGGCTTTAAAGTTGTCAAGTTACAGTGAAGGAGAAAACCTCTTGGAACTCTGGCCCTCCCTCAAATGAATGAATGAGTCTCAGAATACACAGTTGTGTTGTTGGGGGTGTGTGTGTGTGTGTGTGTGTGTGTGTGTGTGTGGTTTGTTTTGGAGTCTGGCTGGGGGGAGGGGATTTCAGCAGCGGTCTGCAATCAAACAGATGGCAACTTTGAATTATTAACTCTTGGATGTAGTCAACATTACGCTTTGTTTAACTTCGGAGAAAGAAGTTAATTGACTTAATTTTATCTAGATAGTCTGAATAACGAAAGTTCTAGGCAACCCATCCCATGAAAATAAGCTTCTTTATTTAAAAACAAACAAACAAACTAGAATTTGGGTGGCCCAGAGTAAAAACAGGAAGGTCATAAAAATTCCTCTTCTCCCTCCCCCATGTCTAACATATAGTGAAATGTAACAGGCTTATGTCAATAGCAGGTTAGTAATTCGAACCTCATGGCCTCTGGGGCTCCAAGATCAAGACGCTTAAATTTGAACAGATATTTTGGAAACACTGGCATATGAGTAACTAGTCATAAACAATTCCTTCGCTGAGTCACACAGTCCGATTTTTCCGGGATAAGAAATGCCTCCTGAACATTGCCTTTTGAGGAGCAAACACATTATACCAATACCTCGCCTCCTAATTCTGCAGAAACTAGATAAGAACCTCATCTGAATCAGGTGATACTCCAATCGACTTTGCCTGAAAACAGTTTTACAACTATAAATAACATGATTTCCTGTGCTCAGTGTAATGGCAGTTAGACAGCAGGGTTTTAAAAAAAATTTGTAAGGACGCTTCCGCTATGCGATATTAGTTCAGGCTAAACAGAAACTAACTCGCAAAGAAAAAGGGAAATTTGGTCTCCATCTTTGCCCTATTGGGAACTTTTAATACAATGAAAAAGACCTCATTTACTGTTTTTATATCTTAACTACGCGGGGAAATGATCCATTGAAAACAAACCATATGATTCCAGTGCTCAGCATCTCAGACTGAGGCCAGAAGGAACAGCCACTTTAGACGGACTGCTCCCACCACACTGTCAACGCTCCTGCTTGCCAAGACCTGGGGACCTTGGCACGGGTCCCGACAATGAGGTGGGTGTCCACATTCTACCCTGACAGCCTCTCTCAGGATGGGACTGGTCGTTTGTAAGTGCTGATCAGTATGTGGAAACGGACTAGAGGTGACACAACCCGTCACAAACATGGGGAAGTTACAAAAGTTAAAGAAACATGTGGTTTCTGCACTGTTCTCTCATATGGCTCCAGGGTGGGTGCTGACCCTGTGTAAGGTTGTATAAGGAGCCAGGAGTCCTGCTCAGATCGTGCTTTTTCCTTTGCTAGGTGAGGTGGAGCTTGGTGAATCAGCCCCATCCTGCCAAACCCTGTGGCCCCAGCCCTCCTTCTCCCCCGGAGACCCCTGTTCCCAGGACACAGAGCCATTAATGCAGAACACAAACTGGCACAAACCAGTTTGAAATGCCCACCAGTCTCCAGCTAGAACACTGTATGGCTCTGGGTGGCTGCTGGGTGACTGCCTTCTAAGGCACCCCCACCTGTGCCCGCCCTACTGGTCACTCAGCATGTTTCCTTTTCAACGAACCGTTAACCTCATAAAACAGGGACCCAGTTTTACTTCTGTTCCTCATGTCCCACTCTAAAAAAGTTTTTGCTACTATTTACTAAAAAAAAAAACCAAAAAACTCCTGCAGGTTCACAGTTTCTTATCAGAAACCCCTGGGACTAAACGTCTTTCAGAGTTCGACATTTTCAGATTTTAGAAGGCTGATAAGATGCAAGCACTATATACCGTGTAACAACCCAGAGTAACAGCTCTTAACCAAGTACATCAACACAGAAATTAACAGAGTACCTTGCAGAGAAATGTTATGACTATTCATGCTAGAAGGGATAAAGACTGAAAAGAGCCACCCACCAGCCAGGGCAGGTCTCACTGCCAGATGAATTCTGCAACAAACTTACAAAATAACAGCTCTTCGGAGTTTACTGGATCCTGGAAGTAGGGGTAAGGGATGGTGGGCCTGCAATCTCTGAGCACCTTCTCAATCAGAACGCCTTCCGGACTCTCCTCTCTTCTATTTCCAGCAGCATCTCAACCAGACTCAATCCACCAGTTAAGTTAGGGTTAAGGAGACATTGTGGTCGGGGCCTTATCGCGCCAAGTGTTAATTCTACTCATTCCTCTGATGGTCCGTGCCTCTTTTCCTCACATCCTTGTGCCTCTTTTCCTCACATCCTTGTTCTCCACGGTCACTCTTTTCTTCCTCAAGGACTCCCTGCCCAGCAGTTCCCTCTCCTGAGCTCGAATCCTGCCTGGGATCCACATCACCCTGTTCTTGCCATCTATGGTTACCTAGGCCGCTCCTCGGGAACACCAGCTTCTCTCATTCCCAGCCTCCCTTCTTCCCAGGGCCCTTCCCTCATGCTGATTCAAAGATCTCTCTGTAGGTTCCCTGGGCCCCTAGAAACCAACTAGGCGAAGGGATAGAAACCAGCTCCAAAGGTCTGGCCCACTTTACGTGAGGTCATCAAAGAAGCAAACTAAAATGGACATTAAAAAAACCACCTGACAGCCCTCAGCAACGAGGAACTCTCAAGTGTGCGTTCATCAGAATCTATTTCTATACCCCTCTCTGGTTTACCAAGAAGCTCCCCCAAGGTCAGGGCAATCTTACTCATCCTGAATCTTCCATAACCATCCAGTAGATGATTAATTCCTAGCTGGTGAAGGCATGATTATGCTGGGTTCACACTTTCATCAGGGTACCTACAGAGACCGCATAAAACGGAAATCCAGGGTTTCTCTCTCTCTGTAGCACTAACTTCCTAACGTGCTTCTTTTCCAAACTACACCCTTTCACTTCTAGATATTTCCACTCACATCAACCACAAGCTGCACGAAAATGGGTTATATTACAAATCTTCTCCACTTCACCCCTGCCCAATTTTAACGCCAAATCACCCCCACATCCGTGGTCCCAATCCTGGTTATTGACCTGAACAACTGCGAAATTCCACGGATGGAGGATCCTGTCCAGACCCGGAGACCCCAGAAGACCAGCCCAAGTGGATTTGGGGACCGGGGTCCTTTAGGGAGCTGGAGAAATCGGGTTCAGCCCCACTGGTCCTAAGGTCCAGGGCAGGATGAGCGCTCCAAACCACCCCAAACACTGCTGGCGCCAGCCTCAGGGCGAGGGCACCCGCTCTGGACACCAGTTTCTAGGTGCTGTATTTTGTAAAGTACCAAACTAGCAGGTCTCAGTGAAACCAGACCACTCGCGGGTCTCAGACCCTGGCTCGATCCACGGCCGACTCACCAGCTGGGCAGAGCCAGACAAAAGACCGTCACTAGAGGCAGAGGGAAGCGACCAGGTTCGTCCTGGGGAGGGGCGTCGTCCAGTGAAAAGTGCCTTCCAGCGCGCAAGAGGGGAGAGCGCACACCAGCAGCGCACGGAACAGAGAGCAGGACCCGCTCCCACCCGCACATCCTCGCGCCGCGACGTTCACTGAAGGGGGTCCCCTGCCAGGCGCCCACCCACACCTCACCAGGCACAGACGACTGTGGCGGTAGGTGCCCACTGCCCTTGGCTTTAAAACATCAACAAAAACCAAACTTTCCAGGGAGAACCGAAAGTTTCGCAAATGTGTTTTCCTCTTACCAGTCGCTGAGCTTCTGGGCTCAGGCAGTCTATTTCCTTGTTCTGCGTGGCCGCAGGGTTGGTCATCCTGCCGGCTCCGAGTCCACCTTCTCACACACCAGGAAAGACACTCGGTCAACGCCGGCTCCTCGGATCCGCGGCGGACGAGCGCTCAGCGCAGCCGCATCCCCAGCGCCGCGGGGTTACTGTCGGCGGAGCCAGACCCGCGCGGCGGAACGGGAACTCGCCCTTCCCGAGGCAGGGCGCGCCTCCGCGGTTCCCGGGCTCGGGCGCGGCCGCAGGGGCGGGGCGCAGGTGGCCGGGGCCGGCCCGCCAGGGCAGAGGCACCCGGGATTGAGGAGCCGGGCTGGCCCCGCGCCCCGCCCCCGAGGGTCCCGCCCCGCCCCCCGCTCCCCGCCCGCCCTCCACCCGTGGGGTCCCGCCGCGTCCCCCGCGCGCCCCCCATAGCCCCGCTCCCCGCGCGCGCCCCTCCCCGCCCCCCAGTTGCGCGGTTATCAGTCACTACGCACCCCCCTCCGGCTCCCACCGGAAAGGCGGTGGGGAGAAAATACCCCGCCGGCCCCGCCCTGGCCGGCCGCCCGCGGTGGGGAACGACGGCGAGTTGAGAGACCGTGGGAAGAGGGGCTAGAAGGGTGGAGCCCCAGGCGGGCAGGGGTCCGCTGGGGGCGGGGCCTGGGTGGGGGAGGTGCTGCGGAAGAATAGTCGGCCGGGGGAGGGGCCTCTGAGGGTCTGCGCGGGGGCGGGGTCCTCCGGGGCGGGGCCTGCGCGGTGCTGGGCGGGGCGGACGGCCTGGCCCGGCACCGCCCTCTGCCCCCAGCGCAGTCCGCGCCCTGCTCCCGCGGGCTCCCGCCCGGCGATGTCCTCCAACCTCAGGCCAACTGAGCTCGGGCCGCGGCGACCTCCGCCCGCGCACAGCAGCACCTGCCGGCCACCCCGAGAAGGGGCGGGCTCCCAGGACGACCAGGCTGCGCGGCCCGCGCTGGGGAGAACGAGCATCCGAGGGCCGGGCGCGTCCCCCGCGGGCCTCCCCCTCTGCAAGCCGGGCGCAGCAAAGAACCAGGGTGCCGGCGGTTCGGCGTGGGTCAGGGGTCTCAGAGCCGGGGGGCTGCACCGTCCGGGGGCCGGCCGGGAGGACGTGCGAGGCAGGGGCCGAGCCGAGGTCCCCGCCGGGCGCCGCGTGGGGTCGGCGCGGAGAGTCGTGCTCGCGGAGAGCACACGCCTCCTCCAGCAGCGGGACACGCGGCGCTCTTTCCTTAAAAGTCCCACGGGCAAGGCAACGAGACGTTTCCTGACCTCGCCAGGCCGGGACGGAAGCGACGGGAAGGAAGCGACGCGCATTTTCATCAGAACGTCAATCTGTCCTGGGCAAGCCGGGTGCCTGCGGCGCCTGGAACCTTCCTGCGCCCCCTCCTCTTATCCTGTGTCGAGGCTGCCCGGGCCCCCTCCTGCCCAGGCCCCCTCCTGCCCAGGCCCTGGAGACACATTTTTGCAGGCCCTTCTCAGAAAGACCACCTCCCCGCCTCAAAACGGGAACCTCCCGCAGAGTTCCTTGGCCTCTTTCCTTGCTAAGGGTTCCCGAGTCTTGGGAGACCAGAGATTCACATTTAAATGTTAACAATCCCCAGTTTCTCACTCTCTGCCCCCGTAACCTAATTCTCGGTAACATGTGAGCGCATCGCCTGTGTGCGCTCACCTTCCACCTTCCGGGCACCCGGGGCCCCTGAGGAGGGGGCTCGGGAAGGAAGGGGTTGTCCCGAGGGCGGGTGGCAGAGAAGAGGTTCCGAGGGGCAGGAAGACCTGACCCAGGAGAGGATGGAAGCGACGGAGGAGAGAGGCTGAGTAAAGCCTGGAGTGGCCGCTGTGGGAGAAAGTCAGCGGGTTTCAACTTTAAGGTGAGCACAGCGCCGAGTTTGATGGACAGCCGCGTTAGCGTCGCAAAAATAACTTTCAAAGAGATTGAGATGCCTACCGTGGAATAACTTGATTTTTTGCTATAATACATTTGTTAGTGTATGACAATTCTTGATTCTATAAAGTTAAGTGATTTGGAGAAAATGACTTTAAACTGTTGTACACGAACACGTATGGGACTTGAGGAATTGATCATGGAAAGCAATTATAATTTTAGTAGTAGTAACAACTTCACAGGTGAGAAGGATCGCCAATTAGTAAAACAGCCTTCTTCAAGACATCAGTTTGAATATTCCCATCTAGATAGGCAAATTCTAGAGCTACCTGCCTCCCCAAACCCTGGGACCACACACCCCAGAGCAGGGTAGGGAACAGGCTTCGTTTGGCGTGTGCCTGTCACAGGGCAATGCTTGAAGACATCTGCATTCTCCCCACCCCCCAGGCCACCATCCAATCAGCTAGTTATCAGCTTCAGGAAAACCACCTAGAGAGGACGTGGAGTAAGTGGGCTCTAGAATTCAGCCACCGGGTTCAATTTCTGGCTCTGCCACTTACTGTGGGATCGTGAGCAAGTTAGCTGCTGTGTCTGGGTCTCATCTGAAACAAGCCAATGATAAGGATGGTGCCCACGGGGCAGAGGAGGGCCAGAGGCACTAACACGCAGGCCCCGCTGAGCACAGGGGGCTGAACTGCCTTGCTAGGCAGATGAAAATGCACGCCGCCCCTGTCTTGCTGCCTCTCAGCCCACTCTCTTCCCTCTGCTGCCGGAGAGCCCCCACCCAGGGCGCCCAGGCCTTCCTGTCCTCCTCCACAGCAGGAAGGAAGCTGGGTAACATCGGGTTAAAATGGCCAAGCCGGGGGGGATGACCCAGAGAGACTGGGGGCAGCCCCAGGAAAGAGAATAAACCCACAGACCCCCACCACAGCTGTGGGAAGGGCCGGCTGCAGAAGTCGTGGGTGGCAGGATGCTGTCATGGAGTGAGAAGCAACTAGCTAATCTTAGTCCCAGGAAGAAACTAACAAGACCAGCAATAGTAAGTGAGTGCACCAGAGGTTTCTTATCCCACTAAGTAGCAGCATATTAGAGAAAACTGAGGTTCTGACATCCCAGACGGCAGGCTGCTACATTCTGGCGTGTGCTTCCCCTGGCCTGTTCTGCTAGGTGGCTGAGCCTCAGACCCCTCCCAGCTGTGGGGCGGATGTCAAAGTCTGTATTGTAAGTGGAGTGCTGAATTCACACTTCTCGGTGGTGTTGTTTAGCTCCTGAGCCCTCAAGAATAAAGTGTGAAGGGTCTAGTTGCCTTCTGTTCATTAAATAGCTCTCTAAGGAAAAGGGCCCCTCATGGACAACCCGTCCAAGGCAGGCCTTGTTTGTTTGTTTTTAACTCATAGCAAGGCCACTTATGAGGATGATTAATGAATGACAGGAACCTACAGACTTGGCGCTAGGAACGTCCACTAAGAAGTCAGATGAAGGGCTGTGGCTGTGAAAAGTGACCTTTTGTAGAGTGGGAAACGTGGAGGCCCACCAGGTTTCCATGCCAGCTCTCAAGGCCACTTGGCAGAGTAATAGAAACCCTTTACCTTGACGGAGACAAAACTAAAACCACTAAGAGTATCAGCCGAGAAGAAATCAGACAGGAAGCCCCAGGCTTCCATCCTCAGGAAGGTTAGGGAAGAAACCCAGGGCGCCTTCGAATGGTCTGAGCCGCGTGGAAGGGTGGCCATGCATCTGGACTGCACCAGCGTGCGCTCAGGGTCTTCATGCAAAGAGTGTGAGGTCAGTGACACAGGTTCAGTTTTCCCCTTCTATTGCTCAGGATGGACTTCTAACAGGTTGCCTCTGAAATTCTGGCCCTTTCCAGGCTGCCGGGCAGTTAATGACCTGCAAACACACAGTCACTATTTAAGCCCAGGCATTCTGCACTGAGAAGGCACTTGGAGATTGGTGGAAGCTCTGACTGTCTTGCGCGTTCCTAAAAGCCACCGCGCGTGTGGTCCTCTGTGCCCTCTTGACAAAAATGAAATGCCCGAAATCTGAAAAGCCATTCTCTGATGTAAAATAAGATTGTATTCAGGAACTTAATTTCTCAAGGGACTCCTGAGAAAAGCAGAAAAAGGTCTAATTTTGTTCTAGGAACATGAGAGTCATAGCTAACCAAGCAAATGCCAGAATGGATAACCAATTTGGGGCCACACCTAGACTCAGTTTACTGGTCGCCATGGCGCCGGTCTGTTGCTAGGGTCACCAGCTTCGCCTCCTGCTGTGGTTTGGTTCTAAGTGTTAGAGCTGCGGAGACAAACCCAGAGACCGCAGCACAGAGCAGGGGCCGGACGGGCGAGAGCAGTGGCTCTGGGATAACTGGCATGAAACCATTCTTCTCAATCACAGCTGTAACATCTGTTTTCCATGAACACGAATCACTAGCCACATTGCTGATAGGAAAATCAACATGTCTAGATTACTTCTACAAACCATGAGCTTTTATTTATGTTACTGCCTTATATGGATCCTTTTGACTAATATGGAAAAACACTTGCTATTATAAAGGTGGTTCATGAAGTGATTATCCAGATTTACACAGCACTTTTCAGTTTACAAAAGTACTTTATGCACACCCTGAGGCCCACAAAAGTTGTATAACTTGTCCAGACACACGGTGGAAGAGCCAGGCTTTTTACCCAAGTCCCCACTACAAGTCTGAGCTCTTAGCATCCAGTGTACTGCCTGACAGCCACCCAGGGGTCCTCACTGGGAACAGGCATTCAACAGACAGGCTCTGGGAATGTCCTTAGCTGTTTCCTGGACTTAGCCTAGACCAGTAACAACATCCCCCACTCCAGGGGTGCTGGCAAAGCAGTGCAAGCACCCAGGTCAATGCCGTAGCTGGCTCTCTCAGTAAGACCTGGGGCATTGGTAGGAGCATCAAATGGGGGAGCCAGACCTACTCTGCTGTCTGCAGAGAAAGCTATCCCCACAGTCAGCTGGCCTAGCTCTGGCCCACAGTGAACTTGGCCCACGGGTCAGGATCCTGACTGCCTCCGGTGGACAGAAGCATCTAGGAGAGAGAATGGCTGGAAAGCAACAGTGAGCAGTTATGAGCTCCTGTTTACTGAGCTCTCACCCTGTGCTGGGGGGTCGTACTTCATTCCCATATCTGCCTATCACCCAGTACTCACTCTCCCCTCCCCTCCCCTCAGACTCTGAGCAGGCTCTTTCATAATGGGAGCATGTTTTCACCTCGGAACACAGTGGGCACACTCCTAATAAAATGAGGACTTTGACAGGTTATCATTAACTCGCAGTGATCTTAAGTATTTTATATTTTTGTAGCAATTGGGAATAGAAACTTTCTTTTAAAAATGGTGTGTCCTTAGGAATTTTTTGTTTTGTTTTTGCATATAACTACCTAGTACCCAGTGACTCAAAGTGATTCATGATCCACACTTCTTTTTCATCTAATAGATTAAAAAAAAATCCCTTTGGATTTTCTCTGGAAGGTGACGAGTTTGAGTTTTGGTTGGGCTGAGTTTTAAGCGAGGGCAGAAAGCCTTGGTGGAGGTGTCCAACAGCAGTAGGCAGCAGAAGGGTCAATTGGTTCAAGGTGATGATAAAGTTGGTGGCATGCATCTAAAAGAGGCTGGAGGAAGGAATCTTAGGACTCCTACATGTAATGAATAAGAGGTCGGGAAAGAACAAGCCAAGACAGACAACATGTGGTTAGAGAAACAGAAAGTAGAGGCGTCTCCTGGAAGCCATCATTCTCGAAAGTTCCCAGAAGGCCGGTGTGAATATGGGTCTTAAACGAGGCAGATGGAGTGAAGAGAACAGAGTCGAGAAAGCCTTTACTTTGCAACTAGAAAAACATTGGTTATTGCATGCTGTGTTAAAATAATACAATTAAACATTTTCGACGATTTGTTCATGTAGAAGAAATGGTAGGTTGCAGCCTGGGAGGAAGGCAGGGTCAGGGCAGAGTTTTGGTTGGAGGGAAGATTTGCTCATTTGTCCCCCTGTTTTTAAGTATGGGAGAGACTTGAGCCAGTTCAGAGGGTGAAAGGTGGGAGTCAAAGGGGAGTGAGAAAAAATGGAGTAGGATGGGGAAGAGAGACAGACCAATGACTAGGGGACAAGATGAGCAGGGGGGCCGGTCGGGGTGGGGTGGGGAGCATATGGGCTTTCAAAATTTGGCCTGATTCTGGGCTAAATGGGTATGAGAAAACCAAAGTGGCCAGGAGAGGGCAGATAACATGAAGCACAGTCCAGGAGCAGGGACTGTGGACCACGGCGCTTAGGGAGGATGGAGAACAGGAGGAACAGAAATTCAAGGACCTGCCCCAGAGCTGCCTCTGGCCCAGCCAGGAGGATGCTGTGATCAGTCCCTGAGCACAGAGCCCTTCCACAGAGCTCCAGAAAACCCAGCAATGCCGGCGCAGGGTAAAATCTGACCCACATTTAAAATCATTTCTAATTTATTTTACTCTGGAATTAAGTCCCTCTCCAGAAATGTCCAGGAATAAGTCCATAGCAATCCTGAAAAAAAAAATGTATCCATTTTCCAATCCATTCCCCAAAACTGGTGATTGTAAGGCCAGACCAGGGATCTGAGAGGTCACAGAACAGCTCCCACACATCGTAACCAAGGAAATGGCCACAAACACTGCCGATGAAGCATCTCTCAGGAAAACCACTTCTGTTTTTCATGAACACAACGCACTGCAAATATCAACCGATTATTTTCTTAAAACATTGAGACCAAAACAACTAAAATCCATTGTGTATTTCTCAGCCATATAGGAATAAATTCTGAAAAATCCCCTGAAGTCAATTCTAATGCAAAGAAAAAAAAAATCTCTACATGCTTTCAGAATAGTCCCTTTAAAATGCTTTTGTTCGGAATAGATAGTGACACGGGAAAATAAGCTTTACTCAGCAATTGATTTCACTAGCGGGCAGAACATCCCCCTGATAAGAAATAAA